ACGAAGATAAAAGAATGCACTTTTATACATTATTGACTATCCTCTACAACATAGTCGTACTAGTTTTAGCCGCATTTGCACCTTAACTTTGACATAAAAGTCTACCATTACGTGGACTAGCTGTATTGATATCTGATTGTCAACAGGTTAAAATTTTTATATTAATTTTCAAAGATTTTTATTTTGAAAAACATTAACATTTCCAGCTCGTGAAAATGAGTGAAATGGCATAAATTAGAGAGCAACAATTCCATCATACGTGACCAAGACAAAGACACGATCCGTACCGCTATCTTCAGCGATAGCTAAGTGTACATGCGACAGATGTGTGTAATCAAGAAATGAAAATTGATCAATGTTCACGGAGAGATATGAACTTTGACACGATGAATGGTTCATTCCTTTCGTTTTTTTGGCTAATTGTTCGATATTCACACGACAATACAAAATGGGATTTTCTGATGGAACTGAACGTTGTAACAATTGAACACAGTCGTGTAAAAGAGAATCAGAATCTGCACAAAATAGATCTTCATCAGGCAGGCGTTCAACAGTCAAGTGATGTGTCTCCAAATCAAAAACGAGATGGTTGTAATGGCGAATCAAATTACGAACTTTTCCGAACTTACATTTTGAAGGTCGACAATGACGAACTAGATCAATGAGATGATCTTTGGCAGATATCATACGAAACAGACTTGTGCCTGAATCTTGTTTCAATAAGTTTTCACAATAACTTAAGACTGGATTCTTTTCAAATTGCGGATCACGTGAATCAAAATCATGATCAACAAGCTTATTCTTGCGGTCACATAACGTATGTTGTCGCTCATAAACTCTAATGAATGATTCATCTAATCCTCCATCATCATCATCGTTTTCGGAACTGGTACTATCTTCAAAACCAAAAATGTTGCTCTCGGTGAAATGTGAAAATTTCATCTTAAAATGAAAACGTGATAAAAGATCTTGTTCAATAAACTGAGATTGATGTCGATTGGTCAAATAAGTTTGATTAACACTATGATCAAAGTCAACAATTGACTCACGTTTCTTTTTGTCATTTTGTTTGACGCGATAGAGTGAACCATAACAGTTTCTATTATAAAATACGTCTGCTAAGACTCTTTCCATTTGTACTTCATATACTTCTTGAGTATTCTTATCATATCGAACGATATATGTTGTTGAATCTTTTCCATGTCCTAATAAGAAGAAAGTATAAACGGCCGCTACTCGACAACATCCATCGATATTACGATAGAAAAATTGCGAATCAGTAAAAGAAAATAGAGTTCGACTACCATATTGAGTATCGATTGTCGGAAGATATTTTGAGCGAGATGGATCGAACACAAATCTTCTTGTTTCTGGAGATTCCCAAACGATTTTCAATAGTTGAAATTGTGGAAAAGTAAATATTAAACTTTGAATATCTTGTTCATGTAAAAGTTTTAAAACTCGAAGCCAAAGTTCTGTTGGTAGTTGATCGATCAATGACTTTTGGTTATTTTTATCAACGATTCAATGTTTCAATTTTGATTGAAGTAAACGAGGATAACAATATCGAATCGATAATGAACGTTCATACAGTTCACCAGTAGCAATGTTTTTCACGGACATATCGGAACTTTCACCGATTTTCAATTCCATCCGTTATGCTTCGCGAAAAAAATTCAAACAAGCGAGATAATCTTCTTTCTCTTCTGGACAAATGGTAAATCCTAACGGCTTATGTTTTCGTTTAACTAATACATCAGTTCTCAACACTAGACGTTCTGTTTGATGCAGAGGATCGATCATTTCAGGTGGTGTTGCTTCATGAATGAGATGATGTGTAAAAAGAACAGCGAAACCTTTCCTAGGTTTTAATTCGATACAGTCAAAACCACTGACTAATCCACCGTAACTATTGATTTCTTCGGTCATTGTCAATCCTTTCACATCAGCGTTCGGTGATTTGATACGTCTAGAAGTCACTGAGAAAAACTTTCAATCGTTTGAAAATAGTCCAAAATGAGGAACATATTCGTATTACTTCTTCCGAAAGTTCACAAGTAGTTTTCGCTAGCTCCGCTCGGGAAGTTTAAAAGGCTAACTCTGGCTGGCATCTAAGAAACAAACACGCCCTCAAAATATCCCCAAAACGAGCAAGCCGGACAAGCTAGCAGACGGCGAGATACGCGTCAACACTAAACATTCTAATCAACATCAACGAACAAGTCATTGCCAACCCTTTCGCCAGTTCTTCCTTCATTCCGAACTGCAGAAAGACTTACTCCGAAAAGAACTTCCACAACATCACCAAAACCTCCGTACAACATACACGAATCTGCACCCCAGCAACAGTACATGGCTACCGACACTCTAGAAAGAACAACCACACAAAACTACAAAACACACCGGTAATGAAAATACAACTACGAAACGCGACACAAACGCCTACTGCCAGGTGTCGCACCAAAGCAACCACTTGCACCACACCAGCAACACCAACGATACACACTGACAACGAAATCCGATACACAGCAACACACATACCGACCTGTCCGTCAAACACATACACAATCACCAACTTCAACAAACATCAATCCCTGATTGGACCAAATTCCGAAAAAAACAGAAGTGCCCATGGGTAAAACATGGACAATGCACAAAAAACCAATCAACCAACTCCAACATAACGCATATCCAACAGTCCGTGATTGCAGATCGCCACGAAGTTGGTGCCAGCAGATAAAATATGTGAAATTAAATCTCTGACACTTTTTATTCAGGGCTCGCAGATCTAGGATGTCCTGCTGTTGAGAAAAGTAGTAATTACGTGTTTTTCCT